GAATGCCCTGCATCCCCTCCCCTGACCAGCTGTGCACAGCCCGAAGTCCTGCTCCCCCTGGCAGCCCTCCCCAAGCCCGCGATCTGAACAGGCTTTGCCCTCCCGGGGGCAGCTCTGAAATTCCAAGCTGGAGCCCATCCTCACCTCCAGTTTGGCAAACTTCTCTGCCTTGTAGCAGGCATATTCCGCATTGATCAGTTTTGTCAGCAAAAATTCCTGGAACTCGGGCCCCTGGGAGCCCCCGTGTGGAGAAAAGAAAGAGGGAGGGGGGTCAGGCGAACAGAGACAGGAGCTGAGCCCTCTGTCCCGGGCTGGAGTCCCCTGAGCCACGACTGCTGGAGCCCAGAAGTCGCCTTCTTCACCCCAGGGCACCTCCTTGGGCTCAGCTCCACAACCCAGGCACCTGTGAGGGCCCCTGTGCCCTTCATGGCTGCCCATCCCTCAGGAGAGCAAACCCACCGAAGTCAGGGGCTGTGTCGGGGTCCCCGACTGCCTCAGCCTGTGGGGGACTGAAGCCAAGGCTCTAAGTGTGGCTTCTGGGAGGAGAGAGACCTGTGCCCCCTCCCCAGACATTTTAGACGAAAGAAGACTCATTGTCCAAAAGGTAACAGAAATGAGGAAGGGCCACAGAGTCTGCTACAAAACATGTAAAAAGTGTAAAACAATGACATAGTTTGTTCTGTGCCTTTGTAAATAAAGGTCAGTGTTTATCAAGATAAACAGAAAAGCCAGGCCCCAGGTGCACAGCTAGGGGAGCCCAGCTGCCCTGGCACACAGTGGGGCTTCGGGACCTAGTATCGCAGAATGTGGGTCCCCCTCTCAGCCCCCACCAATTTGGTCCTGCCCATGACAGGGCTGGGCAGCCTCTCACCTTCCTGAACACAGCAGGGTCCGGGAGCGGGGGCCCAAAGAAGGGCACGTCATCTCTGGCCGTGACAGAGACCTGGAAGGGAGGGCACCAGTCCCTGTGGGTCCCCACACCCGCCAGAAACCTTTAATTCACCTCCCTATCCCGTCCCATGCTGGGCACAGGCCCTGCTCCTTGGTGGGGGATGTTCAATGGCTGCTGATAGAGTGACTGAACCCCAGGATCTCAGCTCCTCCATCCTGGGCCCTGAATTTGAGTGGTGGGAAGGGGTCTCAGGAGTCGTCGGGGATGATGAAGGGGGAGGAGGCTCACCGGCCTCTTTGAGAGGGGAGCTTTGGGGAGCAGAGAGGGCAGGATGGGAAGCCTCTATCATTGGAGCAAGAGGGGGACTTAGAGCCCTCAGGACAGTCCCCCTGTTTACAGGTGGGAAAACTGAGGCCTCATCCTGGGAGGCTCTGAGATCACCCACCTTATAGAGGGGGCCGCTGGGCCCCCCGCCCTCGGCCTGCACCACCACATAGGCGTGCAGGAAGTTGGACGCAATCATGTCAGGCACAAAGGGCGTGTTCTCATCCTGGAAGACCACGGCGACGATGTCATTCCCGATGGCGCAGGGGTGTGGGGGAGCTCCGGGGTAGGCAGGGGACACATCTAAGGATTCGCTTCTCCCTCCAAAAATGTGGTGAGGAACTTGTCTTCAAATTATGTTCGTTTTCTTGGAATCCTGTGACAGATGAGGCAGCTGAGGCCAAGAGAGACATGACTTGCAAGGCCCTACAGTGAGTTAGGGGACTCGAACCCAGGGCTCCTGGTCCCTAGGCCCTACCTCTCAGCCCTTCTTCTAAATACCCCTAACATGGCCCCTCCTGAACAAACAAGTTCCACCCGGTATAAATTCATGTGGCTAAAATGAACAGAAAATCTTCTTAAAAGAAAATAAAATGTCAGTAAAAGTAAGAAATAAATATTTTCTTTTTTGTCTCACATTTCCGTTTTCTCCCCCTGGGTGGGGGTGGAGTGGGCTAAGGTAGAGAGACCTGCAGGCAGCTGAGGGCAAAGTGACAAATTTCTAAGTTCAGCTCCCGGAACATGCCCTACCCTTCCTCATAGCCAGACCTTTACAGAAGCCGTTCTCTCCACCTGGAACACTCCTCCCTTCTCCCAGCTGCTTCACAGCCTAAAAGGCACTTTATCTTGAAAGCTTTCCCTGACTCTCACCTCTGCCAAGTCTAAGTACCCCCTCATGACCCCACAATGCCCTTCACTCCCAGTAAAAATAGTCATTTGTTGAGCTTTTGCTCTCCCAGATACTCTTCTAGCCACTGTATGTGTATCCTTCCTTTACGCTCACCTATGAGGTAGGTGCCGTTATGATCCTATTTCACAGATGTGGAAACTGAGGCTTTCACAACTTTGTTCCAGCTTGTCTCCCTGCCACCTGCTCCAACTAGAGCCCAGAAGGAGGGGGGGACTGGATCACTTCCATCTTCCACATCCCAGGGCCCACCGAGCCGGATGTGGTGGACACTGACCGGACAGGCAGTGGGGGACAGGAGGACAGGTGGGAAGCACGTGGGTAGGTGCCCAGGCTACCTGCTGGGCGTCCCCTTCTGTGTAGGGCAGCTTGGTGGACACGTGAAACATGATCTCCTTGTTGCGGAAGTTGCAGTACACAGACTCGGTCCCCGTCTGCCCGTGGGTCACGTCCAGGCCTCCGCGGAACCTGCCCCCGGCCCCCCAGGCCACGGCTCAGTCTCCAGCCCCAGCCAGGCCTCCTTGGGGCCAGGACAGGGGCTCCCTCCCTGCCCAAGATTACAGCCTGCTTATCCCTCCCTAATGCTCACCCCTTAAAGTCCTGCAGTTTGACCTTCTGGCCAAGAAATTCGAGGAACTCCACGAAGGCAGGGCTCTCCTCGTTGGTACTGAAGAGCTCCTCCTCGGAGGTCTGGGGACACAGAGGGCAGAGGTCATGGAGCTGCAGCACCTGGGCCGCCCCTCCCCGCCACCCCAGAGAAGCCTGGAAGGAGGACCCCTGGCAGCCCCGGGAAACTGAGTCCCTGGGGAGGTGCTCTCCCTGGCAAAGGTCGGAGGTCCCAGGTACACGGCCAGGTGGGTGGGGGAGGAGGAGGTGAGCACACCTGCCCAAGCTTCTGATAAATGACTCCAAACTTGAAGTTGTTGCTGATGACGTGCTCATCAAAGGTGACGATGAGCCGGGAGGCCTGGGGGGAGAGGACAAGGGGTGAACAGACTGCGTTTCCAGGTTGTCATTTACTACTCTTACTATGTGCCAAGCACGGTGGCCGGTATGCCACGTGCATCGTCTCATTTAATCCTCAGAACAAATGCATGAGGCAGACATTCCTGCCGCTCCCATTTTACAGATGGAGAAACCAAGGCTCAGAGCTTGTCTCGGGCCAACACCTTGCAAGGCAGAGCTGGGACTTGAACTCCGATCTGTTGGACTCCAGAGCTCAAGCTCACTGCTCCTGAGTTTTGTCTATAAACCCTCACCCCAACTCCATGCTACAACACCCAGCTCCCTCCTTGCTCCTCTGTAAACCCACATCATCAGTCTACAGGCCAAGCCCCACCAACTTGCTGTGGGCCCTCGAGCCAGTTCCCTCCTCACTTTGGGCCTCGGTTTCCTCTCCTGTAACTGAGATGGAATCTAATTTCCGAGGCCCCTTCCTTTAGGGACGTTTCCTGGACCACATGGCCCCTCAGGCACCGCATCTTGCTCTAGAATTCCGTCAGAGCCACAGGGTCCACATGTCTTGCAGGCCCACCTCTTTCAGGAAGCCCCCTGGCTCGCTGAAGAGAGAAGTCCCTACCCTTTTCCCACATGGTTACCGCGCCCGGAAGTGCAGCTGCTGTCTAGGCAGCACTGATGAAGGTGCCTGTGTTATTCTCTCTCACCAGGTCCCTCTGGGGTCGGAAGGCAAGGCCAGTGAAGTCCCCTGGCTTGGGAACACCAGTTGCCCTTGCGAGGGTCCCCAAATTACACCGAGAGTTTCCAGAGGTAAGGCACGCCCCTCCCCCACCCCCACCCTCCACAATCCCGGCTGCCAACACTAGGGTTAAATGCAGACCTTTATTATCTGCTGTGCACCTCTGGGTAAGACACAGAACCTTTCTGGGCTCCAGTTCCTCTTCCATAAACTGTGGACTTCGCAGGGTTATTGTGAGGATTAAATGAGAAACTTAAGAAAAATGCCCTGCACATGCAGGTGCCCATAAGTGCTCAGTGCCCTGCTCACCCACCCACTTCAGTGAGCAGGGCCCAGGCCCACCATACCTTGGGGTAGAGCACAGGATAGAATCGATCCACATTCACATCTTCGCACACCAGCTGCAGGAGGAGATATGGGGGTGCCTGGAGGTGGGGACAGGAGCAGGGGGCCCTCTGGGCCTCCCAGGCCAAGTGGGGAGGGACGGGGGGAGGCATGGTGCAGAAAGGAGAGGGAATCACCAAGGCAGAAGCAGTACTGTGGGTTCACTGCTGCTCAGAATGGGGTGTGGAGAACTGGGGTCCCCCGTTTCTAAAAGTGCTCTAAAACAGTGCCGAAACACACAGGCAGGGGACAGGGCCCAGCACATGGACATCACGGGACATGTGAGAGGCAGGACCTCAGAGATGGGGCCACAGCACACAGGGCTAGGACTTAGAGCTGAAGATGAGGGCATGCTAAGGCCTAGCTGCAACCTCACGCTGTGTGCCTGCCCCCCCCCCACACACACACAAAGGGGTGTGCAAAGGGGGGCCCCCACATGAAGAGCAGAGGCTGAAGATGAGGGCATGCTAAGGCCTAGCTGCAACCTCACGCTGTGTGCCTGCCCCCCCCCCACACACACACAAAGGGGTGTGCAAAGGGGGGCCCCCACATGAAGGAGCAGAGGCCTCACCTTTGCCATCTGGACCACGTTGGGGAACTCGGTGAGGCAGGAGATGGGGATGACATCGTGGTATGTCCGGCACTTGGTCCTGGGAGGAGAAAGCCCACGTGCAAGGCTAGGCAGCGGGAAGGGAGGTGGGAGCCCCTCCACACTAAGACCCCAGGCCTGGCTCGGGCACTGACATGCTGTGCAACCTCAGGCCGATCCTTGGCCCTCTCTGGGCCTCCGTTAGAAGAGTGGGTAAAATGAGACGAATTCTCAGATTATAAGACCTCAGTCCTCCCTGCTGTCACAGGGCCCCTCACCCCACCCTCACCTGAGCAGCAGCCGCAGGTGCTCCTGGTCCCCGATGACATCATATTTGAGTGAGAAGACAAGGTGGCCCAGGGCAGCGTCCAGGGAGTAGTAATTGAAATGCTCCTGTGGGGGGCGGCAGAGGCCAGGGAAGGGGTGAGGCTGAGTGTGGGGTTTCTGGGAACCAAACCGGAAGCCAGCTCACTCCTAGACGGGGTCCTTCACCAGCAGCAGGTGTCGGCTAACGGCAGACTCTGCACCGGACAGACCTGCACTCAAGTCCCACTTGGCCACCTTCTGTGCCTCAGTTTCCTAGTCTGGGAACCAGAAGGGAGGCCTCCTACCTGTGGGATGGTGGCAGGGACTGAGAGGGATGAAGTGCCTGGCATAGAGTAGGTGTCCAAGGGACATTTATAGAAACCCCGGCTCTCTGGGCTCTATCCAGTTTCAGGACCCCATTTGGTATCTCCACATCTGTGTCCCAGCCCTGCCTTTCTTAGCACTGAGCACACAGTAGGGGCTCAATTAAAATATGTTGACTGACTGATTGCTCAACCTGTGGCCCCTGGAGCCAGGGCCCGTGGGAAACAGGAAGTGAAACATCTCATGAACACACTGGGCGGCTGACCGGGCAGGTTCCCACCCTCCTGCCTCATCGGAAGAAGCTGCAGGTGGGAAGGAATGGGAGAAATATCCCAGAGGCCACAAGGGGAAGCTGCTGCAGGGACAGTTCCCCCAGAGAGGAGCCCCGTGCTGGTACCTCCAGGGGGGGAAGTCCCAAAGCCCAGGGCCAGGAGTGCTGGGAGATTACACCCCAGCCTGGCCTGGGCTCCCCCTGCCAGCCCCGACTCTGGGAGTGTGCAGGCTCCCAGCCACACCCAGCCCAGGAGTCATCCTGGAAGTCGGTCCTGTTTAAACATGAACACCTGTGCTCAGAGGGCAGGCCGAGAAGGAGGCAGGGGCCGGGAATGTGCTCAGGGAGAGTCCGGGCAGAGTCCCCCTCAGCCCTGCCTGGGCACCGAGTGACGGAAAACCCCAAGTGCTTGGCACCTTCTGCAGAGAGGGATTGGCAGGCACTTGGCAAGGAGGGCTGCACCAAGTCCTCACGGTGGGGAGTTTCCCCAGACCCCGTGCCTGAGCCCAAGGAGCCCAAGGGGCGCAGTGGGAAAGTGGGCTCAGGGTCCCAGAAAGCCAGTCTCCCAAGTCATCCTGACCTCCGCCTCGGCCAGAACAGGCCCCAGTGCTTCCCCAGGCACCCCACCTGGAGGCAGGAGGTGGCCCTGGCTCTCTACCAGCCCCCGGGGTCCCCTCCGCTCTGTGTTGCGAACCCGACTCTGATCATCATGCCCAACTTGTACCTCCCCAGATCCTTCTGCGTTCGAGGCGCTTGCTCTGTCACTTGTCCTTTCTTGGCAGACTTTTCTGAGTGCCAACTATGTGCTAGGCCCACCCAGTCCCCCAGACCCCACCAGCTGCCAGGTCCCGCTAAGAGCCTCCGGACAGTGGATGGCAGGATGCAGGTCTCTCAGCTGGAGGCAGAATCCCATGCCCTGTACTGGCTTTGTCCCAGGCAATGGCTCCTGAACCAGGACCAGGCCAATGCCTTGGGCCCAGACTGAGATCACACAGCTCCTAACTCCCCAAGGAGTCACCCCTCCTCCCAACACACACGTGTGCACACGCACACACACGCCTAGCAACATGGCCCTTCCCAAAGCATGTCCTTTTAAAAATATGACATATAACTATAAATTTAAGATTTATAACATGTTACTTTGACACATTCATGTACTGTAGTATGATTGTCGTTGTAGCAGTATTTATCGCATTACATAATTATAGTTCAATATTGTTGTCTGTTCCCATAGCGCGTCTTGATGGAAGGTCAGCCAGAGCTAACTCAATTCTTAGCAGTTTCCTCTTCTGAAAGACTAGGCAATCCTGATCTCACAGAGTAATTAAGATGTGATAATCACAGCTAACATTTATCACGTACTTACCATGTGTCAGGCATGGTTTTCTAGGCTTCAATGTACTTTTATTACCTCGTTTTTATAGACAAGGAAACAGGCTCAGGAAGGTTAAATAACTTGCCTGAGGTCACACCATTAATAAATGGAAGAGCCCAGATTCCCACCCCGGCCTCGAGATCCTGGAGCCACGCTACAACCTGTCGCCTCAGAGAAAACCGACGTAGAGACAGCACCTGGGGTCGAACCGGGCACATACAGGGTCCCAGCGTGGGACCCCCCTCCAGCTCCCACAAACTTGCCCAATCACTCTGGCCTGGAACCCCGCTCGGTGACACTCTGACAAGTTGGGACCAGGCCGGGTCCCTGCTCGGGGGCTGGTGATGGGGTGAGGGTTGCATCAATCCAGGTCACGCCATGGCATTACTGTGTCTTCCCACCCCCCACCTCAAGCCGCCTGAGGGCAGGGCCTGGGGAGGTTTGGTCTGCTGTTCCACACCTGGTGCCGTGAACAGGGCCAGGCACACTGCGCTGGACGCCATCCTAAACTCTACCAGCGCCCTGCCATAAAGCCTTGCCAACCTTCTGCGGTGGGTACCGCCATCACCTCCGTGTCTGCAGCTGAGGAAACAGGCACAGGGAGTAAGTCGCTGGCCTGATGTCCCGTGCAGCAAGTGGCATAGCCAGGACGCAGACCCTGGTAGCGTCTCTGCTGTGGACTGTCACGCCGTCAGACTGCTTCTCGCAATCAATGTTTGTTGAATGAATGAGCGCATCCACTATGCATGCGCCCTGAGACTCCAGCTCTGGGACTGTCACCCAGCCCCCGCCCAAGGGTTCTCTTCCTCCCAGGCCGAGACCCTGATACCTGCTGGAAGGGGGGCCAAGAATCCGCCCTCTCACAGCACCCACCTTGCCGAGAAAGTGCTTCCGGTAGATGCGGGCTGTGGGGTTGCACTCCAGCTTCACCTTGGTCGTGGGGGACTGCAGCGGCTCTGTCTCCGGGATGCTGGTGATTTCGTGGTTGGTGCCTTCAATCCAGTAGCCCCCAAACTGGGGCAGCAGGATGAGGGGGAAGGGTCCTTCTCGCCCCAGGACCTGAAGGGGGACTCAGTTGAGAGCCACCCACACTACACCCCACCAGGGACCCCAGGACAACTCCCCAGCTCAGACCTAGGGACAACCCAGACACTACACGGGTCCAGACCACATGGAGCCTCCCCCCACGTCCTATTCTCAAAGGATGGGGGTGGGGACGGAGAGCCAGGAGCAGGACCTTGGCAGAGAGGCTGAAATGTGTGGCTCAGAGGCCCTGGGTTCAAATGTGCTCTGAAGTCTTTGGCCTGTAAACCGAGTCTCTAACTGGTTAGACAACTGACAGGGCGGAGAACGGGGCACCCCGACTCCCTGGGTGAGTGCCTTCCAGCGTGGGGCTCGGATGGGCTCGGGGGGCTCCCGCGGGTTACCTCGTGGACACTTGGGTAGGGAATGTAGTCCTCCTCCGTCTGCAAAACACAAGCAGGGCCGAGGCCCAGCGGGGATGGGTCCGGGCCCTTAACTCCCAGCCTCCCCAGAATGCTCCTTGTCTGGCCAGTACCAGGCTGGGAGCATCTCCCCGTCTCGCAGGTGGGGCAGGGCTTCCTTTGGGGTGACCCCACGAGGCTGGGGCAGAAGCAGGCTTAGCTCACTGAGTGCTGGCGGCCTCTTCTGGGCCTGATCCTGCCTGGGGAGGAGGAGGCTCGCTGCCCCCCAGAAGGAACCCCCAGACCAGTGGTTCTCGGTGCATGAGAACAGCCTGGGGGCTCATTAAACACAGGAGGCTACGAGCCACCCCAGAGTTTCTGATGCCCTAGCTCTGGGGGGCCCAAGAATTCACATTCTCACAGCTCCCAGGTGGTGTTGATGGGGCAGGTCTGAGGACCATGCTTGCTTTGAAAACCCCTGCCCTGGACAAAGATCAGGCTTATGCCCATGAACCCCCTTTAATTCTCCCCCCTGCAGTCCTGAGCCTACTCCCCCAGGCCCAGCTGCCAGTCTTCTTGGGTGGTTGGGGTCTCAAATCACCAACCAGAGAACCACATGCCTACCTGGAGAGGCTATATGCAGTCCCCCCGCCCCCTAAAAAAATGTGAGACCAAACAACAGCCTCCCTCTCCCCCTACCCCCCGCCCCTCAGCCTTTCAGGTAGGAGCTACAGGGAGCAGGAGTTTGAGTCTGGGTTTGAGTCTTTCTACAACTGCTTATCATAACCGGCTTCCAGGAAAACTGTTTACGTAGGCCGTCTTGTGAGGGATGGGGCTTCGACGCTGGGCAGGGAGGCCTGGAGAGGCAGGGTGAGTTCGCAGTGCTGAAGGCCGGTGGGGAGGAGCTGGACTGAAGGCCCCAGGCCTATAGCAAGGGAGGGGTGCTCCACACACCTCAGAACTTCTAGAGGGCCGGACCGGATGGAGCTGGGTACCCCAGCACCCAGCCCCTAGGAGGACAACTTCATGAAAGGGGATGGGTTCTCCTGGCCTGGCTGCTTGGTGAGCAGCTGTGGTAGGACTTCCCAGGCCAAGCCCCACCCCCACCCCCCATCCCCGAAGTGGGGAGTCTGCCTGCTCCTCCCAGCCCAGGTCCCCAAGCCCTTGGAGAGGCGGCTGAGGAAGCCCAAGGATGGGTAGGGCGGTCATGGTTCAGACCTACCTTGAGGGGTGGTGGGAAGGAGCATCGTTGTTCATCCATCCTGCTTCCCTGCAAAGAGAGGGCAGTACTTTCTGTTACACCCCTCCCACCCTTCACACCCCTCTCATGCTCGCTGCAGGGCTCCCTCCCCTGGGCTCACAGCCCTTCCTGTGTCAAAGGGAAAGTCCGCCCAGGTGGGGTACTCCCGGGCAGGGTGCTGCTTCACTCAGGCCTCTCTGCAGGCCTGGCCGTCCTGCTGGGAAGTAACCTGGGCTGTGGGAGGCGGCGGCAGCAGGGAGGGGCTGGGGGCTCTGTGCGGGAATGCCTGCCGCTGGGAGTGGGGGCAGGGGTGGTGTGCGCGTGCCTGTGTGAGTGTGGGGAGCTGGGAGGGAGGCTATTGCATCTACACAGATATGTGTTGTTGAGAGAGAGGGGGAGGGAGGGAGAGACCCGGAGAGGGAGAGGGAGAGAGGGGGAGAGAAAGAAAAAGAGAGGAGGAGGGGAGAGATGGACACAGAAAGACTAAATAAGAGAGGCAGAGAAACAGGAAGGGGCAGGAGAGAGGGTTTAGGGGGTGAACTGACACCAGGGAAAGCTCCTGCGGTTTTTCCCACTCACCCCAGCCCCTGACCACCTCCCAGCACAGGCCCTGGCACAAAACAGACAAGGGCTTGGAAGCCCAGGGCTGGGCAGTGGAGGGTGGGCAGGGGTTAGGCAGAGGAGGCGGGGCAGTGGAGGGTGGGCAGGGGTCAGGCAGAGGGGGCGGGGCTGCCCAGCTCATCGACACCTCCCCCTCCCTGCAGCACAGCTCTGGCTGCCCTGAGCCCTGGCATCTGCCCCTCCTCCCATGTTACAGGATGGGGGGCGGGGGGGGGGCCTGCAGAGTCTGTGATGCCTCTTGGGGGGTTGAAGTGGAGGCCCCAGCTCTGTGAGAGGAGGGGGGTGGAAGGTAGGGAGGCACACAAGTGGATCCTGGACCCCCAGGGTCAGATAGGGAGTTGGGCCCCACCAGTCCCCATCCTCTACTCTGGACAGAGAGCTCTGGACAATACATTGCCACCATCTCCTCCCAGCATGGCCTGTCTTCAGAGAGGTGCAGGGCAGGAGATGTAGCCAGGGCCCGCCACCCCCAGCCCAGCCCGTCTGTGGCTCCCAGGAACGGGCAATGGATCCAGCCTCACCTGCATCTTTTCAATCATCTCAAACAGATCTGTGTTCTGCAACAGAGATGGGGAGAGAGCAGGTCAGGCCTCAGGGTGGTCCAGCTGATCCTGCTGAGCCCCCAAGGAGCCTGCACCCATCCGTCCTGGTCCCCCTAACTCTGACCAACCACCCTGGACCTGTCACCCCAGAACCCGGGCCCCCGCAGGGCACCACACCCCACTCAGTCCCCTTCCCCAAAGGAGGAGGCTGGCGCCTCAGACAGCGGGGTGTGATCCCTGGGGAAAGACACAGCTTCCCCAAGTCACTACAAGGTTGGCAGTGCCAGGATCGGCCCATGCACCCCTGAGAAGAGCCCCAGGTCCCAGCTCCAGAGAGGAGCTTAGCTGGGACCCTCAGGAGGATCTGGGGTTCCACCCTCACCCTCAAGCAGTATGGGTTGGGAGCTGTTGGGGGAGAGGACGCTGGGGTGTCCAATTGGCCCAACATGCGTGTGTTCGAGTCCACAGCACCCCTCACCCCTCACAGACAGCTTCTCCTGTGGCTAGCCAGGGCACACGCAGGGTTAATCGGGCATCTGCCAGCTGCCTTGGCAGCGTCAGCCTCTCCAGCGCCAACTCCCTGTGAGCCTTCCTGGAAGGCGGCATCCTTTATGGCTGGTGGGGCAGGGGGCAGGGCCTGGGAAGCCCCCAGAGTCTCCAGGAGGGCGCCTCTCCCCCAACCCCTCCCAGCTCCTGCTGCCCAGTGGGGGCACCACCTGAGCTCACACACATGTGCTATGGGGCTGTGCACCAGGAAACACATTCTCTCTCTCTCTCTCTTGCTCAAACACACACGCACAAGCCTACACACCAATATTGAAACAGTCTCACTGTACCAAAGAAAGCAAACACAAACCCACGGGGTCTCACCACACCAACTCTCAGACTCAAAGCTATACACTGACCCGCAAACACCCGTGTTGGTGTCCTAAGTTACACAACAGCGTGCCCACTCACACACGGGTCCATGTGCAAGAGCCACACGCACAAATGCAAACCCACCCTTGTGCAGATCTGCACGCCAGCAACCGCACCCGAAGCTACACAAACACCGGGTCTGCGTGTGGAGACACAGTAACAGGCGCTCACACATACAGGCAGGCACGTTCATGGAAACTCGCTACAGAGCCCCACTCCCACGTACTTTCCCCATCGGAGTCACACACCCTGTGGCTCAGGCATGAAAGACTTGATCCCACAACAGTAAATGAGTTTTGAGAAAAAGGAAAAGCACACAGTGGTTAATCGCCAGGGGTGAGGGTCACAGGTATGAACCTCACACCCAGTTAAGTACACACCACCCCCTCTCCCCCACCTCTCTCTCTCTCTCTCTCTCTCTCTCTCTCTCTCTCTCTCACACACACACACACACACACACAGCTCTGTTAAAAATCATGAGACACAAACACCCATGTGTACACTCTGAGGCTTGACCACAGGGACAAAACCCACCCCGTGAAATGCACCACCAGAGACACTGACCCATGGTCACCTGTGGCCACACCCAGGGCTTCTGAGCTTGGATACAATTCCACAGGCAGTTAGAGCAGAGGCCAGACACACACCTGCACTGCAGGTAGACAAACATGCCTGTCGGCCCAGCAGCCTGCACAGCAGCAGCGTCGGCATCTATGCCCACTCCGCTTCAGCCCAGCAGTGATGGGGTGCACTGGTGTCCCCCAGAGCACCCCCCTCAGGGTGACCTAACAGGGCCAGGAACAATGCAGCAGCGGGAGTCACCTCCACGCTGACACATGGTATTGTCACCAGAGTGTTCACACAGCAACAAGTGCCACCCACAGTGACAGCCTCACGGGAGCAACAGATGCCCTGACCCATGGAGGACTGTGAGCCAAGTGGCCCAGAGCGTCACGCAAAGTTACACTGACATACACCTGAACGAGGGCAGGGGGTGGACGGAACGGTCCCAAAGCTGGCGAGCTTGCACGCGCACACACACACACGCACACACACAGCCACTGGAGCTCGGAGCCACGGTGCCACCGCTAGCGCTCGTTCCGTGGGCAGTGGCAGCGAGAGCCCAAGGCCCGACCCTCGGGCAGGGGTGTGCCCTGTGCGCCGTGGCACGGTGTCAGTCCAGGAGCTGCTAACACACCCTCCATGGTGGTGCCTCGCACACGCGCCCTGGCCGGGGCACAGCCTGCCGGCTCCACGGAA